CCCACGAAAAAAAATTTTTTAAAAGTTTGCGTTCCAACGCGTTTATTTTTATGTTCACATGTTTTCGCTAGAAGTTAAACGCTGGTTTTAAAACGCGTTCAAACGCCTCATTTTATCTGTAAAAACGGCTACATATCAACTAAAACGCGTTGCTAAAAACGCATTCCAATGCTTCTTTTTTCGAATAAAACAGTAACAACCAGCTTCGAAACGCATCGTAATGGACGCGTCTTATCCATATAAAACACTACTCCTTTCTATGTTAACGCGTTTAAACGGTGTAGTTTTTTCCTTCCTCGCAGCATCAGTTTTTTTACATATTTTATCCTAAATATGTATTTCATTCATTCGCATCACTCTACTTAACATTTCTCGATAACTTCATTCTCCAGATATATGAAATTTTTCTAAAATATCACCGTTATGGTGCAAGAAGTCGAAATATTTAACATACTCTAATACCTTCTTCTGTCGAAAAAATGCTAACCACAAGTAAGAAATGAATCCTGCATTATCAACACCTTCAACAACTTAACGCAAGATTTCATTATAAAACTAAATAGGAAGAGATATTACAGTATGTTAAGTATTTCGACTTCTTGTACAATAACGGCGACGCTTATTTAGGAAAAATTTCGTAAATGTGGAGAACGAAGTTGTGGAGAAATGCCAAGTAGAGTGATGCGAATGAATGAGATACATATTTATGGTAAAATATGCAAAACAACTGACACTGGGAAGAAGAAAGGAAAAGGATAACTTTTGGTAACTTCTCAAGAACTAGGTACAAACGGGCTACACCTATATCTGTATCACTACTACAAAAAAGGGAAGGGGTAAACTCAAAGTAAAACGAACGCAAGACCGCGTGGATAATAGTATGGACAAAACAGATAAAGAGGCGAGGTAATAAAAGTTGGAGAAAAACAGAGGAAAGAATGATTGGAAAATAGCGAGAATAAAACAGACAAAAGGGTGAAGGAATAATAATCAGAGTCAAACAAAAGGAAAGGTCATTTGATAGTAGAAAGGATGAACGCGAAAGAGCGAAAGATAATAGTTAAGGTAAAACAAATGAAACGATGAGAGAATATTAGTCAGAGTATAAGAGAAGAAGAATATATCAGGATTAGGACATCAAGAGGTTTGGTACGATAAAAAAGGATTACGGAAAAAATTATTCTGCGCAAATTCAATTCGATCTCAAAGAATAAATAACTTGGTAATTTAATAATTAACATTTAAAACTAACATAACATTTCCATGGCATAATTTTTTTACAAGAAAATCTCTTTTTTTTTTCTATGTATAAACTCAAAATTATTTTAGTGATACTGAATCAGCTCTGAGAAATACATTTAATCAAGCAGAATGGTGGCACCATCTATACAAAAATTATGTGTTTTTTTAATGAATAAGTGAAACTACTCAAAAAACTCCTTCTAAGATATTTATTAATAGAATAAAAAATTATAAAAGAAATCATACAGTAGAATTACTTGGTATATTAAAATACGATACGTTAACTAAATCTACTGTACGTATACTAAACGGGTTATTGTTATTCGTTTCACAAAGAACAATACATCCAACATTCATGGACGGACTATACAAGAAGACAGTATTGAAAAGAAAAAGAAACAACTGTATTGTATTAAAGTAGACTGAAAAGGCGATAGATATATAGGCACTATCACTTTATTCTTTTTCGATTTAACCACTGTTATACGAAAAGAATGTAGAGTTAATCTATTATACTGAAGTAAAAGCCATCTTGTTTAAGATGTAGAAAGGTTCAATGATATATATATATATTCGCTTTGTAAAAACGTCTATCAGGGTCATGACCGGAATATTGTATATGGTCTTTCGTACGTCACCCTGGAAGCTCCGTATCTATAGGAATATTCTGTCTAATCTTCATCTGTTGTTCTAATTATAATAAAACTTTCCTGCTTTTCATTTCTAGGTTGAGCGTCAAGGGACAATGTATCGTGGAAAAAAGACAGTACGACGTGGTGGTGGTAATTCTCAACTACGAGGTCAAAATACAACAAAAACTAGACCAATGACTCGACAACAAAATACGTTGTTATGTGAAAATGATCAAACTAAAGAAAATGATGAAAAATTTGCATTAGTTGAATTCTTATTGAATAAGAAACTATTGGTTGTCAATCACAATGATTTAATTAATCTAAACAAACAAGGGAAAATAAAATTAGGTTCAAATGTTTTAGTCAAAATGAATGATGAAAAATCAACTTCTGCAATTTTGTTTTGTGTTGGTAAGCGGAAAGATCAATACGTAGAAAAGTGGACTTGTACTGTTCTATATTTTCTAGGTTCACAACAAGAATGTTTGAACGAATTAAATATTATTAAATGTCAACGTGATAGCAAAATGAATTCTGATTATGATGATAGTCTTGATGATACTCCATTATTAACTACAACGAGAGTACCAGAACCAACACAAAAAGAAATAGATCAAAATAAAAAATCAAATATTCCTGAAGAAACAGATTCTTGTATTTCTTTTGATATTAATTACGATGAACCCAATACTCATTCATCACTTCATACATTATCACTAAAGATCAAACCTTCTCTAACTCATTTAATGCCGATGAACCATCGTCAGGATGTAACGGTAACTGCTTCTTCATTAACATCATCAATTGACATTACTGCTGCAGCATCTGAACCTACACCATCAGCAATAAACACAAATTCTGTCACAACGACGTCGAGTAAAAAACAAAATCGAATGGATACATTATCAGATTTAACTGTTCAATTAAATGAAGTTACTGAAGATCGTGATAAATGGAGAGATAAATATTTAGCATTGGAAAAACGATATTCGGAATTGAGTGATGTATCGATGCGTGAGTTATAACACTTTTCAATCATTATTAGTTTTCCATTAATGTTTTTCTGATGTTAATTTTTGTAGTGATTCCAACAAATGATAGCGTTTGCGAGTGGATAAGTACCATGTATGATGCCATTCAGCGACCAGTAAATTCTGATGTTAATTATGATGACGAAGCGACAAAGCTAGGCATTCCATCAAATTTATTAAAATATTGTGTAAACCTATCTAAACCACCAACAGTAACGGCTCGAAAACTATTCCAGCAAATATGTCTTGATGAACTAACTAAAGGTCTTCCATGGTCGAAAATTCCGGACAACAAAATAGAAGCTCTACATGGTATGTTATAAAAAACAATGTTTGATAATAAAACTAAAGGCTTTGTTCGTAATTTAGCTTTCGGTGAGAAATTATTTGGACATCTTAAATGGGATAGAAAAACTATCAAAACTAGTTTACAAAATTTAATTCGTGGTGAACGTGCAAATTTAAAACGTGATCAGAAAAACGGTTGTCCAAATGAACAAACTCTTGATCATAATGGTTTGATTGTAGCTGAATCTGTTCCTGAACATACTGAGTAACTGTAAAAAATGATGAACTTATCATACTTGTTGTTTTTGTAATTAAAGCATCTTTATCTAAACTTATTAATGTTTTCTTTTTGTATTGTTTATATTTTTCTACGAACTTATATTTTTATAATCACTCCTATACATATTTAAAAGTGAGCTATTATTTATAATCAAGAAAATAAATGAAAACAACTGTTTTACAATGAACAGATATGTCTACCATGTTACATTAAATATAAAATCTTAGTTCAGAAAAATATTTCTTTTCTATAGCAATCAGTAATTGGATGATTAGTGTAGTAGATCACAAAACAATTGACAAAAGATAAAAATAAAATTGCCGTACAAGAGGAGTTGTTTAAAATAAATTAACTGTTGATTTATAGATCTGCATGTTAACGATTGATTTTCCACTAGCCATTAACAATTATCTGTCGTAATAAAATAAGATTTTTCTTATTTAGATGTCTGCCCTGCGGGCAGCTAAATTAAAATGGTATTACAAAAACAGACAACAAATTAATCAAAAACGAAGAGAACAATATCGGAAGTTAATGAGCCAACAGTAGGTTTTTTATCTTTATACTTATTGATGTATTATGTAAGGATGTTATGTTTGTATTTATTGCTGTTTAGAAGTCAGCATAATTCTGTAGATGATGTTGATAATTTAAATCAATCGGAATTTGAAGATCGTGATCATATGAACGAAGAGGATTTGTACAAGACTAATGATACAGATCAATGTTCTCTTTTATTCAATCATGATAATACATTCTATGATACTTTAATCAACGAAACATGTTATGATTTAGAAAAAAATACATTAGATTCAGATGAAGAAACTGAATTGGTGACAGACACTTTAGGTTCAACAGATGATGAAGAAAGTTTCGATGAAAATGAAACTGATGTGGTGGTTGAAGAAGATGGAAATGATAATGAACAAAAGTATGAGCTACATTTAAGCTATTATACAAGAAAACGTTTCTTGCGCTTGATATTTATTTTTATTCTAGAAATGAGATGTTCAATGACCAATTTCAGCGAGATTATGATGAGACAGATATATCTGTTTGTTTATTAACTTTAAAAACGAAGCATAATTTAACATTTGAATGTTTAAATGATATTCGAAAATTGCTAATTGTATTAAAAGTACAAAATGTACCGTCATCCATCTATCATATTCGTAAATTAATTAATACAAAAAGTAGATCAACACCATGTACATTATCTTCGACAGAAACGTCATCAATGATCATCTGTCAAAAATGTGAACGTGTTTCATTTTCAACAACAAGCTGTTCACATATTGATTGTGAGAATCACGAGAAATATACAACTAATCCTTATAATTATATTTATTTTGATATTCGTGATCAATTACAACAAATATTTCGTCGAGAACAACATATCAATTGTTTTACACCAGAAAACAAACCTTTTATCAATACTTCTATGCATGATATATACGATGGTAAAATTTATCGCTCATTGTTTAGTCAAGTCGAAACAAATAAAACTAATTATATAATGACTTTAATGATGAACGTTGACGGTGTTGCCGTCGGTAATAATACTGAACAATCACTATGGATAATTACCTGCGTAATAAACGAAATAAAAAGAAAACAAAGATTTAAAATTCAGAACGTTGTTGTTGGTGGTATTTGTTCTTGCTATAAAAAACCCAGTCGCGCAATCATGCAGATTTTACTGGAACCAATTGTTAATCAATTATTATTACTTGAAGAACAACATTTATTTCAAATCAAAGGAACCAAGAATGAATATAAATTGATCCGTATGTATTTAATTGGAGCGTGCAACGATAAACCTGCCAATAGTTTAGTTCAAAATGCACCGGAACCCATTGCTAAATATGGCTGCTCTCGGTGTGAATTACGGGGTATCTATGTTATTAATATAAGTTGAAAGATGCTTATGTTCAATTACCTTTTGATTCATTTTAGGCGAAACGGTGTTGTCAAATTCAAATGACCAGATAGCACAGAATAAATCATCGTCAACAGAAAAAAAATCAAGAAAAGATACACATAAAATTCGTGTTTTTCCGACGAATGAAGACAATCAAACTCAGTTACGTTCAACAGCACGATGTCAATTAATCCTCAATAAATTTTCAAAACTAACACATAATAAACAATGTTTGAATAATGAAAAAGAATCAAATTTACGATTAGGCTATTTTGGGAAATGCAGTTTGACAGATTTGACGTACTTTGATCATGGTTATTCATTCTTAATGGACACGCTCCATACAATATATCATGGAGCTTTTGTGAGTACTCTTTCTCAATCCATATCTGCATTATAGATTGAATAAAATTATCAAGCTATCTTTATTTCGCTTAAGAATATCTTTTTAGGAATTCATCCTTGAGTTTTATTAAACTAATTGTTTTAGAAACGACTCATGAAGTTATGGTTTCACCAAAAATATCGAACGCAACAGTGGTCAATTCGTAAACATATGAATGATATTGAAACGGATTTGCAGCGCTTTCGATTTCCATCAACAACGACAAGAGCACCGCGAAGCATTATGAAATACTATCGATTAAAGGCGAACGAATCACGAGTTCTTCTATTAATAACATATCCAATCTTTAAAAAATATTTAAAACCTATATATTATAAACATTTACAATTGTTATCATTTGCATTACATGTAGGTGAATCAAGAGAGATAACTTTACCGAAACTCAATGAAATGAAAATATTACTGGACAAATTTGTTTACACATTTCATTTTCTGTATGGTAAACGTCATACTGTTAACACAGTTCATTCAGTGATTCACTTTCATCAAACAGTCATGGACTATGGTCCATTAACCAATTATAGCACCTTCAACTTTGAATCTGTGATCGGTAATTTTAGTTTTTACGTCATAAAAAAGCTTATATTTTCTTTATATTAGGCCGTATTGCATCAACAGTTAATGGAACAAAAAATCTACCACGTGAAATTGAAAATAATTTACAATTAATTAAAAATTCGTCACTTTTACTTGATATGTACTGTATTTCATCACCATTATATCTATTTATATCTGATCTTCAAGATTGCAAATCAAATCCACCAATAGTATCGAATAATTATCAAGTACAAAAACCAACATCAACCATCCATGATAATGACAAACAGGAGCTGTTGTTGAAATTTGGTAAAGAATTATTGTTATACAATAAATGTTTTATAAAAGGTGTTACGTTTGCAACTTTACATTATTCAAAATCGAAACAATTTCAAGATTGTGCCATTCTATACAGGCACGAAAATGAACATTATTTCGGCATTATTAATAAGATTATACTTATACAAACATCAAATAATTTATTATTTCAAGTTCTTCCTTTGTGTAACAATAAAAAAGATCAAGTATTGTTAAGTTTCAACACACAAAAAATATTGTGCGATAATGTTGAATATGGAACAATCAATTTTGATCATCACATCCATATTAATGCAAACGATGTTATTGAAAAAGTATCTTACTATCAATTTAAAAAACAATTTATTTTTATTCGTTATCCAACATTGACTGAGTCTAGTTAAAGAATATGCTTTTGTTAACCTACATTTATTTTTTTTTTTTAATATGTATGTGCTCATTGAACGCACTTCGAAGATATTCTCTTTTATTATATGTAAACGAGTTGACGTAATGAACAGTAATATCTGACTCACACACGTTTACATTTGATGTCATTTGATATCTGTTCTAGCTGAAATAGATTCTTATTCTATGAAACCAAGTTCTTACTCAAACCACATAAATCCAATCTTTCGTTTCAACCATCTCTAGAATATCCGTTTTCTCTAGAAAAAACGCATTAAAATGATACCGTTTCAACATGTGTATAAAAATGACGAATTTTTCAAGACACACGCAGCAAAAGAAACGCGTTATAGCGCGTTTGTTTAAAAATATTTCGTTTTTTACCTACAAAACGTATTTCAATATATGTAAAAAAAACTCGTTCGAACGAATAATCTTAAACGCGTTCGAATGGTGTTTTTGACAGCGTTCGTTGGGGAGAAAAATGCGTTTTCTCATCACGCGTTCAAACGTTGTTTTCAGTTGATGTTTTAAGTTGAAAAAACGCATTGCAAATAAAAACGATGCGTTTCAACGCGTTGTGAATTGGCGAGGATGCGATTCAACGCGTTGAAAATAGAACAGGATGTGTTTAAACGGGAAAATAGCGTTTTTTTTCTACAAGTTGGCGTTCAAACGCAAAAATAGCGTTTTTTTTCTAAAAGTTGGCGTTCAAACGCAAACTTTTATAAAAATTTTTTTCGTGGGTTGTTCAATGAATATTATAACATCATCTTAACCAATATTGGTTTATTTTACTGCACATTTAAGAATATTAATTCTAGCTCAGTTGTATTTTGTGAATTATAATAAGTGCAGACAAATATTGTTAACGCTCAGAAACTAAATGGAAGGGGGAAATCATCATTAATGTTATTACATGTTAGTATATCATACTAACAACATAAACGATTCCTTCCTTCTTAGATTATATGATAATCATAATCTTCTCTATTTTTCTTTTAAAAGTGCAAGTACGTATGGGCAACAATCATGTTTAACCAAGATAAACAAGTTATCCTGTTCTCATATAGGTTATAATTAAAAAAATGACATAGAGATTAGCTGTTTCAATAAAAGTTTCAAAACTTGACTATTGTATATTTCATCTAGTTATCATCGTCACATAGAAACAGAGTTATCATCAGTCCACATTTGCAAGAAATTTTTTCTATTCTGTCTTTTCTTTCCGTCCGTCCAGTTCACAGAAAAAGGAAAAAAGAGGTCATTCTTTTATCACTCTCTCGTCCGATTATTCGTCTGTTCTTTTCATTTGGAATTCATTTGTGTTCTGTTTCGTTCACATAGTTGCCTAACTGAGTAGGCCATTTTATTTCTAACGTATACTTAAAATTAATGTTAAATTCACTATATGTAATGGCACATACTTCTTTTGTGTAAGACTAGATATGTTCGAATTAGATAAGTTCTTTTCTGCGGAAATCACTCAGAACGAGAGAAAGAATAGGACACTTACTGCATGGCTATTAATAGTGAGTTTCTGTGAAAAATACTTCAATATTCACTAGGTTAGTGTTGACTTAGACATAACATGTACGATACTTATGACAATACAACTAGCAGAGTTGCTCGCAGACGATAAACATAGCAGGGTCCATTAAATATTCCTCACTTGAAATGTTTCATATATAATGTTCATCACGAGTACGTGTGACATATGAGACGTTTGAAACAGTTGAGTTTTCTACTCGATGAAAAGGGAATCTTAAGTCATCGAAATATGAATGAGCTTTAAAAGAAATATCGTCACTACAGGAAAAAGCAGATAGCATTCTGATGCATAGGTGTGCCTTAATCAATTTCGCGACCGACTTAATACACACTAATTATGAGATTTCGTAGTGCGTTGATGACATTTCTAGTTATATCATATCTCCGTACTTTGATATTTTAGAATTTGATCGAAATGAAGTTAAATTTATTAATGATACTTGAAAAGAACATCTGTCTACCATAGAAGTTCCGATTGTAGTTTTCCTTATACTAGAAGCTGGTTAGATAGTCCGTGCTTTGCCTTTTTATCAATTCCTGTGTTAGTCGTACTATTTTAAATCTATTCATCAGTCTATCTTATCCGTCACTTATTTGAAACATGAATGGAAATAATTCAGTTTTCTTCTCGTTGATAAACTGACCGATTATATTCAGATTATCATTAGATTAATGTTAAATTGACATATGTTTATTGTTTATACTTTGAAAACAGTGCAGAGAATTAAATCTCTCGTCAGTTCGTTTCGTTTTATGTTAAGAGTAAGTTTACATTTTGCCATTTACTTGTTGGTATTTTTTTCTTTTTGTTTTTTTTCTAATAGTGGAATGGTATGACAAGGTGTTAATGCTGTTCGATTAAACCTACATTTTTTATCTTTCTTTCCACTATTGAAAAAAAACAAAAAGAAAAAAATATCAATAAGTAAATAGTAAAATATACACTTACTCTTAACATAAAAAGAAACGAACTGATGAGAGATAAATTCTCTGCACTGTTTTCAAAGTATAAACTATAAACATGTGTCAATTTAACATTAATCTAATGATAATTTGAATATAATCGATCAGTTTATCAATGAGAAGAAAATTTAGTTATAAATTATTGATACTTCATCGTTTAGATGAAACGTTTGTTGATCATTAAGAGGCGTGACAAGGGAAATTATTTCAACTGTTTAAACAGTGTCATTAGTCGCCAAAAACGCGTTAAAACAGTTACAATTTCAATGACTCCAAGCGTTTAAACATGTAAAACGTGTTAAAAGTTAATTTTTCATAAACTGTTTTAACGCGTTTTTTGGCGACTAATGACACTGTTTAAATAGTTCAGATGTTGAGACGTTTAAACGCCGTTTTTGCCGTTTTGTTGTCTGCCCGGGTTAGTCTCTGGGTGATACTTCATTAGCAATCAATCAAACTTAAATATTTGCTTTTTTCATATTTTATTGTGAATGAAACAAAAAACAATAAACTTTATTTTACTGTTCGATTTTATTCAAAATATAATTCTCTTCATTGATGTTTGATCGAACTGAAAAAAAAAACAAAATATTTGTATTTTAAATGTTGCTGTTGAATATCTACTAACAGAATCGATTTGTTAACTGTTCTAAACAAATAAGTTCAATTGATCATTTGTCTTCTCATTGAAATTTGTTCATGAAAAGAATCTGGATGAATATTAGTA